GCTGCCGGCACACGACGCCTGCGCCACGCAGGTCCCACGCGTCGTCCAGGACGCGGCCCCACGCGCCGTCCAGGGACACCTCCACGCGGCCATCACAGCGGCTCTGCCCGTCCCTCAGCCGCAGGGCGTCGGGGAGACCTGGGAGGGACGGGGGAGGGGCCGGCAGGGTGTCAGGCGCCGGGACCTGGGCCCCGAGAGGGGAGAGGGGGCCCCCGCCTCCGCCACAGCCCCGTCGTCCACTCCCAGCCCGCTCTGCCCAGCGCTCCTGCCGACCCACCTGAGCAGACCGCGGTGGCGGCGTTTCCCGGGTCACAGGAGGGGGCCCCCAGCGTGCCCACTGGGCAATTCCACAGATAGGGCTCTGTCCCCACACAGTGAAACACGTCAGGCCAGATGGGAGCGTCCCCGTCCCCAAAGTGGCCTTCTCGAGGTGTGGCCACCGCGCTGCCACAGTTGAGCTGGTGGCAGAGGACGGTGGCGTCTGCCAGGTCCCAGTGGGCGGCACAGAGGGGCGCCCAGGCGCCCTGAACCTGGAGCTCCACTCGCCCCTCACAGCTGCTGCTGCCGTTGACCAGCCGGAACCCTGCGGGGGAGGGGGTGTCAGCACTGCCTGGTGGCCAAAGCAGCAGGTCTCAGGCTCTCGCCTGCCCCCACCCCTAGGCTCAGCTCGCTCTCTCGCTGGGGTGTAGCCTCTTGTTGGCACACGCACCCCTGGCCAGAGGAACCCTGAGAGCTGGACTTAGAGCGCCCAGCAGGGTCCTGGAGGGAGGCAGCAGGAAAGGAGGCAGGCGAGCGAGCCTCAGAGCTCACCTCCCCCCGGCCTCACCTGAGCACCGCAGCCCGGCGTCCTGGCCGTGTCCATCCTTAACCGCGAGCTCGGGCAAACAGCGCCCACTCTCAGGCTGAGAGCAAGAAACAGCTTTGCCCCGTGAGGCGGCTGTAAATAGTGGGCAGGGCACACCAGAATACACCTGTCCACCACCAGTTGTGATCACCAGTTGTGATTACACTGGGGAAAACAGGCAACGTCAGATTTCCAGTACTCAGCAAGGTAAGCGAAAGCAGGGAACACTGATAAAAAATGAAGTTGAGGGATGCTGCCTCCATGCCGGCAGGACGGGACACTAAGGCAGAATGTGCTGGTCTGCAGAGTGGCCGCTTCCCCTGAGCAGCCAACACCCGAGGGAGCAGCAGGGCACCGGGGCCCCACTGCCCCGTGTCTGCATACACTGGCGCCTGGATCTCAGCATGAGCCTGAACGGTCACCCACACCCTGTAACTGGGAAGGAAAGCCTGAGATAGGGCAGAGGAGCAAGCTGCGAACTCCGTCTCTCCCCTAAACAATGGTTAGGTAGCCTGATAAAACTGTCTTAACCAGCTTTCTAGAAATTCTAGTATCTAATCAGAAAATTACAACTGCGAAACACTTGATGAAGCAAGAAGTTGGCAAATTTGCCTCTGGCAGGCAAGAAATAAATACTAAGGCAAAGTTGAAAATTGGCCTGCCTCAGCCTTGAAGGTGTGATCCAACAAAGAGCTAACCTGGAAAGACCAAAAGTTATGAGCTTCGTTTGTTTATTTTTGGCTACAAGCATTTAAGAAAATCTCTGTTAAATTGCTATCTCACCACTGAGATAAAGAAAAAAGGACCTCAGTGGTCACACACGACAAAGAATAGAGCCTTTACCAAAAGAGCTTAGAGAAGTCACTAAGCAAACAACTGTAACCGCACAACACTTAGCAAAAGACCTGGGGTGGGGAGAGGGTCTGGTTTTCAGAGCTGTCATTTTTAATACTTTAAACATGTCCAGTTTTCAACAAAAAGAAGTAAGATATATGCAAAGTATCAAGGAAGTAAGGCACGTTCACAGGAAAAAAAAAATAGAAACTGTCCCTGAGGGAACTATGTCATGAGACCTGCTCAACGGAGACTTTAAATACACTGTCTTGAATATGCTCGAAGACCCGAAGGGAGCGGGCAGCGATGTCTCCTCACTTAGGGAACTCCCATAAAGAGATACAAATTATTTGGAAAGGAACCAAAGGGAATTTCTGGAGCTTAAAAGTGAAATAACTGAACTGAAAGATTCACTTCAGGGGTCAAGAGAAGATTTAAGCAGGCAAAAGAAAGAAACAATAAACAAGACCAGCCCACTGAGATTATCCAGTCTGGGGAGCAGAAAGAAAGAAGAACGAAAGAAAATGACTAGATCCTAAAAAACCTGTAGGGTAGCAGCAAGCGTACCAATGTACAAATAAAATGAGTACTAGGAAGAGAGGAGAAAGAAAGAGGGAGAGAAAATATCTGAAGAAATAATGATAAAAATCTCTCCACGCGTGATGAAAAACATGAACCAACACATCCAAGAAGCTCAACAGACTCCAAGCAGACTATATCCCAAAAGATGCACACCGAAATACATTCTCATCAAACTGTCGCGCCCCAAATACAGAGTCCTGAGAACAGCAAAAGAGAAGTGACTTGCCACGTAAAAGGGCCCTCGACAATTTTAACAGTTGATTTCTTATCAGAAACCATGGAAACCATGAGACAGAGGGATGACATACTTAAAGTGCTGAGAGAAAAGTTGTTACCGCAAAACCTACATCCAGCTTAGCTATTCTTCAAGAATGAAAGAAAAAAGAAAGCAGAGCCGAGGGGATTCATTGCTGTCCTAGAAGAAGCGCTAAAGGGAGTAAGTACTTCAGGCTGACATAAAAAAACACTCGACGGTAAGTCAAGGCCGTACTATTAAATAGAGAACACTGTTGAAAGTGATTACGTAGGAAAACACGAAGCCAACATTATTGTATTGGGGGGTTAATACTCCTCTATTTTTCCTATATGTTTTAAATGATAAATGCAAAAAACATTAATTATAAATCTATGATAATGGAACACAATGTATAAAGATATAACTTATGACAATAAATGTATAGGAGCAGGGATTATACATACTATTGAAGCTAAGTTGGTTTTAACTCAAACTAGAGTTTTAAAAATTTAAGATGTTATTATTGCCAGGTTAACCACTAGGTAAAAATCTTTAAAATGTATCCCCCCCGCCAAAAAAAAATGATAAGGGAGTCAAAATGGTAGACTACAAAAGTCAGTTAAACACACAGAAAAGGGCAGTATTAGAAGAACTGAGAAACAAACAAACAAAAACTGCATAACATATAGAAAACAAGTACCTAAATGACAGAAGAAAATATTTCCTTATCGGTATTATTTTAAATGTAAGGGGATTAAACTCTCTAATTAAAAGGCAGAGAAAGGTAGAATGGATTTTTAAAAAACGTTGTCCAACGATATGCTATCCTGAATGAACCACTTTGGGTCAAAAGACAGAACAGGTCTACAGTGAAAGGCTGAAAAGCCTAGCCATGCAAACATTGACCAAAAGGGAACTGCAGTAGCTATGTTAATATTAGAATAAATTGACTTAAAAAAAAGAAAAAAATGGACTTTATGTTTGAAAAAGTTACGAGACAAAGATTATATACTGATTAAAGGGCTAATCCACCAAGAAGATGCAATTATAAATATATGCATCTAATAACAGTCACAAAAATTGACAGAATTGAAGGCAGAAATGAATTATTTAAAAATTATAATTAGAGCCATTAATATCTCATTTTTACTAATTATTAATAATGAATAATACACATAGGTCAATTAGAAAATAAAGAACTAAAACAACTAAACCTCAAGACATACAGAACACGATGCTCCCCAACAGCAGCCGGGTACACCTTCTTTCCAAAAGTTCATGGAACATCCACCAGGACGGACCATATTTGGGGCTACAAATCAAGTCTGAGGAAATATGAAAAGATTGAAATCATAAAAATATCATCTTTGACTACAGTGGAATGAAGCTAGAAATCAATAACAACAACAACAACAAAAAACTGGAAAATTCACAAATACAACACTCTCATAAACAACCACTGGGTCAAAGAAGAAATCACAAGGAAAACTGAAAATACTTTGAGATGAATGGAAATGAAAAACAAGATATCAAAACTTCAACAGATTGAAGCAAAAGAAGTGTTCAGAGGAAAACAGAGTGGCAAAGGAGGGAGGCTGCCCCCACGCCAGCAGGACGTGACTATCAGAATAATGACAACAAAAGTTTATTCTTTGAAAAAGTCGACAAAATTCTCAATTTAGCTAGATTGGCCAAAGTAGAAAAAAAGAAGAAAAAAAAAAAAAAAACAGAGACGACTCAAATGACTAAAATCAGAAAAGAAAGTGGAGGCATTACTACCAGAGTTACAAAAAGGAACATAAGTGAACACTGCGAACGCGCACCCCAACGCATTAGAAAATTTACATGAAATGGGCGAATTTCTAGAAACACACAAAGTACTACAAATGACTCGGTAAGAAATAGAAAATATGAAGAGGCTTTAAAAAAGTAAAGAGAATGAATCAGCAAACAAAAATCTCTGAACAAAAAAAGCCCCATACCAGATCGCTTCAGTTCACTAACGGAACGAAGAGAAAACCAAACATGAACATCTCAGTTGATGCAGAAAAAGCATTTGACAAAATTCAAGACTCTCATGATGAAAACACTGAACTAGGAAAAGAAAGGAACATTCGTCAACATGATAAAGGGCATTTATGAAAAACCCACAGCTAACATGCTCCATGGCGAAAAACTGAAGCTTCCCATGGAGGCAGGAGGAAGACAGGCACGTCCGCTGTCACCACCACTGTCCCACACTGCCGGGGATGTCTGGCCACAGCAGTCAGGCCAGACAGAGACATCGGAGGCCTCCGGACGGGAACGGAGGCGGGAAGCCTGTCTGCGCTCACAGAGACGCAGTCCCTAGAAAATCCTTCCGGACCACAAAGAACGATAAAGCAAATAAGCCCAGCAAAGTCAAGGGTTCAAGGTCAGTACAGTCAGCTGTGTCTCTCACTCTGGCACTGAGCAGTCCTCGAGGAAGTTAAGAGAACAATCGGAGAACTTACTTCCCCCTGAGCACCGCAGCCCGGCGTCCTGGCCGTGTCCACACTGGTGCCCAGGCCCCCGCGGGCACTGGTACAGCAGGGACTCGTTGCCCGCACAGCGGAAGGCCTCCGTCCACACGGGCCCAGAGCCCGGGCCGAAGTGGGCACCCCGGGGCCTGGACACGGCCGAGCCGCAGTGCAGCTCCCGGCACACCACGTGGGCCGTGGCCTGGTCCAGGTCGGCGTCGCAGACGGAGCCCCAGGTCAGGCCGCGCCTCACCTCCAGACGCCCAGCACAGGGGTGCTCGCCGTCCACCAGCCGGGCCTCGGTGTGTCCTGGGGGAGGAGGCGCCTCAGAGGCAGGCCTCTGGGGAAGTGGCCGCCTGCTCCACCCCACAGGGAGGAGGCTGCAGGAGGACCAGGACCACCCAGCCTGGCCCTGAGGGGCCCGAAGGGAGCGCCAGGGTTCCTGGGGCCTGCGGGCCAGGAGGGCTCCCCCCGCCCCCCTCCTTCGGCCGCCCTCGCCCTTGGCATCTCACTCAAATTCTGAGAGCAAATGCACAATCCCAATCCCGCCCGCTGAGCCAAGAGAGCAGACGCTGGAGAGAGCCACCTCCCTGCGTGACTACGGACGGGGTGGGGGTGCGGGCAGAGTTCTGGGGATGCTCCAAGTTGCTCTCCTTCCCCGGGCAGGGATGCCAACCGATGGGCAGGGGGTGGGCACACTCGTCTGCCTCTCTTCTAGGCAGTGGACCTCCCAGCTGTGAAACGGTGCTCCCCTCAGAGGCCCGGGGCTGGCGTCCCTACCTGAACACACAACCTGGGCTTCCGTCAGAAAGTTGCATTGGTACCAAATGTTCACGTCGAGCTTGCAGTTGAAGATGCTGGACTCTGTTCCCTGGCAGGTCACGATCTTAGGGCTCCGGTCTCCAGGGTCCTGGATGTTGTGGGGTCTGGATGCCTGGAGTGCCTCGCCGCACCCCAGACTCCTGCACAAGACACCGGTCTCCTTCGCCTGCAAGCCACACACCTGGACGAGGCTGTCTGACAGATGGAACTGTGGGGTCCCCGCACAGGGGCTGCCTCCCGCTTCCAGCCTGACCTTGGCCAGATTCCCACCTGCAGGAAGCACAGAGGCCGGCCCTCCTTACCTGAGCTCCATCTCCCCCTGGACTGGGGCATATCCCCCTCCGCAGGCAGTGGCTGGGGACCCGAGAGAGGGGTTGGCCTTTGTCCGGGCGGAGCCAGCGGCCTGTCCAGCCAAGGACCTTCCTCCCTCCAAGGACCACTGAGGAGGGGCGGGGCGAGCAGCGTGTCCTGTGCCCTGGGCGACGGCCGGAGTGCACAGCCAGACGAGCTCCGAGGCATGGGGAGGCCTCGCGGGGCAGAGGGCCAGGGCCACAGCGCCTGAGCCCATGGGAGAGGGAGGCCAGGACCCTTCACTGCAGAAGGTTGCGTGGTCACCACTGGGCCTCACGCCAGACCCAGAAAGGGCTGCCCTGGGCGTGCGACCTGCAGCTGGGGACGCGCAGGTGTTCCTCGCGTGTGCCATCCCCGCCTTCGGAGGGGACACGGCTGTTCGCACGGGGTCCTCGCAGTGTGGGTCTAAGGGGCTCCGCCGGAGCTGCTCGCGGTTGCGGGGTGGGTGGGGACAGGGCTGGGCCTCACCTGAGCACTGCACGACGCCATAGCACTCACACGCGCAGCCCCGCACCGGGCCCCACGGCCCCAGGGCGCAGTCCCACAGCGAGGCCTCGGTGCCCGCGCATCGCACGCCCTGCAGCAGCAGCAGCTGGGTCTCCTCGTACCACACGGCGTACTTGGGCGCGAAGCGGGCGGTGCCGCAGCCGAGCTGCCTGCAGACGACGGCCGCCTCGTCCAGGCTCCAGCTGTCCCCGCACACAGCGCCCTGCCGCCCGGCGCGCTGCACCTGCACCAGGCCCTCGCAGTGGTTCCCGCCCTTCAGCAGAGCCACGGAGTCTGCCGCCCGGCCTTCGGAGCAAACACAGCGGCCGCCCGTGCCAAGCTGAGCTCCGGAATGTTTCGTCCAGAATTTTCAAAATTAGAAATCTAATTTTCGCCTTCCATCCCAATTTGTACCCTTAATTTCAATTTCCTCAATTTTTCTCACACGTCACTGACGGTGTTGATGACGGCCATAAAGTCAAAAGTTGACAAAAACGAAAGTCTAAGGACCGTTTTCTGTGGAATCTCCAGCTACGGGCTCAGCCTCCCACACACACACGCGTGGGTCCCCTCGCTTTGCCTGCGAAAGGCTGAGGCTCCCAGGATGCACACCCCTGAGCTATGTCATCCCCTCCCCTCTGGACCCGGGATGCCGAAGGCCTGCAGACAGCAGCACTCACCTAGAGGGAGGGTCCAGCAGGCCAGGAGGAGGGGCCACAGCCTTGGAGGGGACAATGCCATTCCTGGTCCCCTTCGCTGCTGCAGCCACTCCAGGCATAGGCACACGGGCGAGTGTGTTCTACCCAGTTTGGGAGGTGGCTTCCAGCTCAGTGGGAAGCTGTTCTGAGGAGGAAGCCTGTGAGCCCCACCCATCTCCCCAGCAGTATCGGAGCTGTCAATCAGAGCCGTCCTCTGCCCTGTGGGGGACGAGCTCCCCTGCCAGGCCTGAGCCCAGACAGCGCCAGCAGCTGAGGCTGGGCTTCCTGCAGAGCAGGTGCCCAGTGCAGACCCAGGTGGGAGACTGACAAAGGAGGGACGGCCTCAGAGCCAGGAGCCAGGGCTCCATGGGAGACACGCTTTTCTCTGCCTCACACAAAAACTGAGTTGAAGAACAAGGATCGAGCCCAGCTCCTCTGCTCCATGAACAGACACAGTAGTTTGGTCAAAACCCATAAAAACATGCCTGATCTGTAGCCGGCACTCATAAAAGGTGCACACACCTCTCTGTGAGCATGGTGTCCTTGAAAAGCAGCCTGTAAACAGGAGAGGAATAAATGAGGGAAGATACGTAGGATGGGATGCGAGGCAGCCATTTAAAACGACGTCAACTGCATGTTTCAGGGGGAACAGGAAGCAGGATGTGCACCCGAGGCATTACTGTACCTCATGCTTGTATCTGCGTCTGTGCAAAAAAACGTTCTCCATGGATGTAAAGCAAGATGCTGAAGTATTCACTTCTGAGTGATTGAATAGCATTTTTTAATTTTTCTTGGGTCTATGAGTTTTTAAATTTACAAGAGTGTGTATTGTTTTGTAAGCAGAATAACATTTCTAACGGTTACTTCCCAAAAGATATGCCAGAGATCATTTTAAGAGAAGGCAGCTCAGGTCTTCAGACCAGCGTGGATTTCCAGAGAAGGCAGGAGGGCCCCTCCAGCCCCTGCCACACCGCAGCCTGGCAGCGCGCTGAGCCACACCCCCAGCTCAGGCCTCAGGGGCACACAGCCCTGAATGCGTGCGGCCTGGGTGCCCAGGGCAGGCGAGGGGGGCGCTGTGCGGGGAAAGGTGACGGACCCTGCACCCTTCCCAGAGCCCCAACCTTTTCCAACTGCTGGGCTGAGGTCCTTTCTCTGTTACCCCTGTCTTCCAGGTCCCCTGTCCCATGCTCGGACCCCCACCCCACTTCCTGCCAGCTCACTTCTCTCCCTCCTGAGCCTGAGGACACCCACCCCCTGCACACCTTCCCCCATCCCCAGGGACATCCAGCATGCACCCATGAGCCAGGTGGGCCAACTCCTAGGGCCAGAAGGTGGGCCCCGTGTGTGCACAGTGGTGCAAGGTGAGCTCAGATGTCCAGGACATCCCTTCTCGTCCTCCAAGGCCCCGTCAGGAGCTGCTCCAGCCATGGCCCCAGAACCTGGACACTTGCCTTCCTCACCCTGCCTCACCCCAGAGGCTCTGTCCAGCCTCTCTGGACATCACCCTATTTCCCTTGTCAGGGCTTCCTGTGCAAAAGGGACCTTCAAGTTCATCTTCTCCAGCATGGTGGGCCTCGAGACCACGTGCAGCACCTCTGACAGCCCAGAGTGGGCACAGGGGAAGGGCTGGAGGTGGGGGAGGCGGTGCTCAGAGGCCCTGAGGGGAACACTGGGAGGTCGCTGGTAATTGCTGGCACCAATGGGTAGACCTGCAGGTAAGGGACTCAGGATGACTGAACCTGGTCTTCTGCAGGACGCCGACCTGGGAGTGGCAGCTGAGAAAGATCCAGATGCGGACGGGTGCGGTCATCTGCAAACCTGTCCCAGGCCCACACGGGGAAGAGGATGCAGAGTAACATTTCCCAGAAAGGGTGTGGCAGAGGTGTGTTAGGGGAAGCCCTGTCAAGGTGGGTGTGGTCAGGGTGTGGTCAGGGGTGTGGTCAGGGGTGTGGTCAGGGGTGTGGTGATAATGGAGTTGTGGGGTCAGCTGCGAGTTCTGTAAATCTGGCACAACACCTGAGCCAGGTGGGTGGGGTCTGTCTGCCTATGAAAGGTGAGGCGGCCGGAGCTAGTTTATGGGTAGCCCCACCCCACACCCCTGGAGAACCTGCGGGCAAGAGGACAGCTGAGGACAGTCCATGCGCACAACAGAGCTGGTGGGGTGAACGGGCCCAAAGCAGAACCTGGGCCCTGGTGGGTGGCTGCGGGGCATTTCTGCGACCCGTTAATGGATGAATAAATGAGTTCCAGGATGTTTAATGATATCACTTTTAGAAAGGAGGAAGATGAAGGCCCCCAGGGGACCTGGGTTCTCCCACACCCTCTGGTCTCGCTGATGTCCCCTCACGGCCAGCTCATGGCCATCATGTCCTGGGGCCACCATGATCTTTCATGCTAGCCTGAGCTTCGAGGCCTGGGCTGTGAGGACCTCCACCTGCATTTAAGGAGAAAGACGTGTATCGGGACCCTCAGCAACTCCTCAGGGCCACCAGGACTTCTTTGCCCTGCTTTGTGGCCATACCTTGAAGCCAGAGAGCCAGCCAGAAACTGGACAGTGCGAGCGGGGGTGAGACCAAGCTGCTTCCCGCACCGTGCCGCCTCTCACCCTGTCTGCTCGGGCCCTGCCGACCAACGGAGTGCGTGGACACAGACACACCGAAATTAAATTCTAGGGCCCTCCCTAAACTCCACATCTGCCCACAAGAAGATTCCAATGTGACGACGACCGCGTTCCCCAACACCCAAGCCTCTGATGGGAGTGAGGGTTACGGACACAGGGACAGGTGGCTCTAGGATCTTTAAATGTAGGCACTGGCCAGAGCAGGGCCTCGGGCGTAGAAGCAGCAGAGTAGCAAAAGCACGATGGACACCACGGCGCACAGATGCACACCTGCAGGGCTCAGCGGCAGCCCCTCGTCCTGGTCCTGCTCCCGGTCCTGGTCCTGGTCCTGGTCCTCGTCCTCGTCCTGGTGCTCGTCCTCGGGGCCATGCTCGGGCTCCCAGGCGTCATCATACTCCTCCCCCCTCACCAGGTCCCAGGACACACTGGGCCCCTCATCCTTCTCCCACATGGGGACAGCTCCGATGTCCTCATAAACCCCTTCCGAGGGCACGTTCCCCAACATTCCAGAACCTGCAAAGGCCACACCAGAACCTCTAGGAGGGCCACTGCCACAGTCTAAGCCCACTGCTGCCAGCCCCCCGCAGGGGCCTCTCCTGCGTGCCAGGACCCCCTAGACCCCAGCCCCTCCTGCCGCAGCTCCCAAAGGAACACGTGCTTCTTGGGCACCCAGTCATGTGCCACTGAGGAGTCATTGCAGGGAAATCTGGGTGGGACCTGGCACACAGAGCAGTGACCAGGACAGAGAAGGCCTGCAGTGGGCTGGGGTCTCAGCACACCCCCAGCCTCCCCATCCCCAGGGCCTGTGTCAACCTCACCAGCCCAACCCACCTACCCGTGCAGGACCCTTGGCGGCGACACCACTGTGCTCCCAGGACCAGGGCAACGACGCTCAGGATGGTGCCGAGGACCAGGCAGAAGGTCATGGGCAGGACGCCAGCCTCCAGGGCAGGTAGAGGGGCCAGGGGAGGGGATGGTCCTGCAGAGACAGTGAGAGGCGGGTCTTCCCTATGTGCCAGCAGGGCCTGGGGGATTGTGACCTTGGGCCTGGGCCACCTGAGCCTCTGAGGAGGGGGAGGGGAGGTGGGCCTAGTGCCGCTCCCCCCATAGAGGGTCCCGGGGCTGGATCGGGAGGGAGGAGACAGAGGGCAGCTTCACGACCCTGACTGGCTCGCTGCCTGCAGCTGTGACTTGGACACACACACACACCCAGTACTCAAGAGGCCACGGTGCACCAGGCCCAAAGCCCCAGACAGCAAGGAAGACACCCTAGAGGTAGCCGGGTGTGGCCTGGGCCTGCTGTCTCCCCCAGGGCTCTACACCCTGCTGGCACAGTGGGAGGGGCAGCAGTGAGCCCCAGAGAAGGGGCGTGTCCAGCACCGCAGCCCCACTGGCCTAAGGACGGGTGACAGGCACAGGAGATCCAAGGGCCCCTCACTGAAGGGCGCCTCTGGGTCAGGGCCAGGAGGAGCACACCTACGCGATGCCGGCGGCCCGGAGGTGGTCTCCCGGTCACCTGCGGGAGAAGGGGCGGGGCCTAAGGGAGCGGCCGAGCGCGAGCAGCCGGGACCCTCAGCGCAGCAGCCCAGCCCACTCGGCCCCCACAGAGGCAGCCCGTGCGCCACCCGGAGGGTCCCGGGCCAGCCTCAGGGCTGGCCTCTGGAACACCGGGTGGGGGATACTGCAGAGGAACCCCAGGTGCCCCCCCCTGCCCGCCCCCCCCGCAGCACTGCCCTTGCT